CCCGACCATTAACCTGGTAGTCTTAGTGTGGCATTGTACCCGACCCTTAACCTGGTAGTCTTAGTGTGGCATTGTACCCGACCCTTAACCTGGTAGTCTTAGTGTGGCATTTTACCCGACCCTTAACCTGGTAGTCTTAGTCTTAGTACAGCATCACACATGAAGAAGGACCTTTCTATCTTAGTGCAGCATCACACATGAAGAAGAACCTTTCTGTCTTAGTGTAGCATTGTACCCGCACTATGACCTGTCTGTCTTAATGCAGCACCGTACCAGGAACTATAACCTTTCTGTCTTAATGCAGCATCGTACCCGGACTATGACCTTTCTGTCTTAGAGCAGCATCGTACCCGGACTATAACCTTTCTGTCTTAGTGCAGCATCGTACCCGGACTATGACCTTTCTGTCTTAGAGCAGCATCGTACCCGGACTATAACCTTTCTGTCTAAGTGCAGCATCGTACCCGGACTATGACCTTTCTGTCTTAGAGCAGCATCGTATACGGACTATAACCTTCCTGTCTTAGTGCAGCATCGTACCCGGACTATAACCTTTCTGTCTTAGTGCAGCATCGTACCCGGACTATAACCTTTCTGTCTTAGAGCAGCATCGTACCCGGACTATAACCTTTCTGTCTTAGTGCAGTATCGAATCCGGACTATGACCTTTCTGTCTTAGTGCAGTATCGAATCCGGACTATGACCTTTCTGTCTTAGTGCAGCATCGTACCCGGACTATGACCTTTCTGTCTAAGTGCAGCATCGTACCCGGACTATAACCTTTCTGTCTTAGTGCAGCATCGTACCCGGACTATGACTTTTCTGTCTAAGTGCAGCATCGTACCCGGACTATGACCTTTCTGTCTAAGTGCAGCATCGTACCCGGACTATGACCTGTCTGTCTAAGTGCTGCATCGTACCCGGACTATGACCTTTCTGTCTAAGCGCAGCATCGTACCCGGACTATGACCTTTCTGTCTAAGTGCAGCATCGTACCCGGACTATAACCTTTCTGTCTTAGTGCAGCATCCTACCCGGACTATAACCTTTCTGTCTAAGTGCAGCATCGTACCCGGACTATAACCTTTCTGTCTTTGTGCAGCATCGTACCCGGACTATGACCTTTCTGTCTTAGAGCAGCATCGTACCCGGACTATGACCTTTCTGTCTTAGTGCAGTATCGTATCCGGACTATGACCTTTCTGTCTAAGTGCAGCATCGTACCCGGACTATAACCTTTCTGTCTAAGTGCAGCATCGTACCCGGACTATAACCTTTCTGTCTAAGTGCAGCATCGTACCCGGACTATAACCTTTCTGTCTAAGTGCAGCATCGTACCCGGACTATAACCTTTCTGTCTAAGTGCAGCATCGTACCCGGACTATAACCTTTCTGTCTTAGAGCAGCATCGTACCCGGACTATAACCTTTCTATCTAAGTGCAGCATCGTACCCGGACTATAACCTTCCTGTCTTAGTGCAGCATCGTACCCGGACTATAACCTTCCTGTCTTAGTGCAGCATCGTACCCGGACTATAACCTTTCTGTCTAAGTGCAGCATCGTACCCGGACTATAACCTTTCTGTCTAAGTGCAGCATCGTACCCGGACTATGACCTTTCTGTCTTAGTGCAGCATCGTACCCGGACTATGACCTGTCTGTCTAAGTGCAGCATCGTACCCGGACTATAACCTTTCTGTCTAAGTGCAGCATCGTACCCGGACTATGACCTTTCTGTCTAAGTGCAGCATCGTACCCGGACTATAACCTTTCTGTCTTAGTGCAGCATCGTACCCGGACTATAACCTTTCTGTCTTAGTGCAGCATCGTACTCGGACTATGACCTTTCTGTCTTAGTGCAGTATCGTATCCGGACTATGACCTTTCTGTCTAAGTGCAGCATCGTACCCGGACTATAACCTTTCTGTCTAAATGCAGCATCGTACCCGGACTATAACCTTTCTGTCTAAGTGCAGCATCGTACCCGGACTATAACCTTTCTGTCTAAGTGCAGCATCGTACCCGGACTATAACCTTTCTGTCTAAGTGCAGCATCGTACCCGGACTATAACCTTTCTGTCTTAGAGCAGCATCGTACCCGGACTATAACCTTTCTATCTAAGTGCAGCATCGTACCCGGACTATGACCTTCCTGTCTTAGTGCAGCATCGTACCCGGACTATAACCTTCCTGTCTTAGTGCAGCATCGTACCCGGACTATAACCTTTCTGTCTAAGTGCAGCATCGTACCCGGACTATAACCTTTCTGTCTAAGTGCAGCATCGTACCCGGACTATGACCTTTCTGTCTTAGTGCAGCATCGTACCCGGACTATGACCTGTCTGTCTAAGTGCAGCATCGTACCCGGACTATAACCTTTCTGTCTAAGTGCAGCATCGTACCCGGACTATGACCTTTCTGTCTTAGTGCAGCATCGTACCCGGACTATGACCTGTCTGTCTAAGTGCAGCATCGTACCCGGACTATAACCTTCCTGGCTTAGTGCAGCATCGTACCCGGACTATGACCTTTCTGTCTAAGTGCAGCATCGTATCCGGACTATAACCTTTCTGTCTAAGTGCAGCATCGTACCCGGACTATAACCTTTCTGTCTAAGTGCAGCATCGTACCCGGACTATGACCTTTCTGTCTTAGTGCAGCATCGTACCCGGACTATAACCTTTCTGTCTTAGTGCAGCATCGTACCTGGACTATGACCTTCCTGTCTTAGTGCAGCATCGTACCATGACTATGACCTTCCTGTCTTAGTGCAGCATCGTACCCGGACTATGACCTTCCTGTCTTAGTTCAGCATCGTACCCGGACTATAACCTTCCTGTCTTAGTGCAGCATCGTACCCGGACTATAACCTTTCTGTCTAAGTGCAGCATCGTACCCGGACTATGACCTGTCTGTCTAAGTGCAGCATCGTACCCGGACTATAACCTTCCTGTCTTAGTGCAGCATCGTACCCGGACTATAACCTTCCTGTCTTAGTGCAGCATCGTACCCGGACTATGACCTTTCTGTCTAAGTGCAGCATCGTACCCGGACTATGGCCTTCCTGTCTTAGTGCAGCATCGTACCCGGACTATAACCTTTCTGTCTTAGTGCAGCATCGTACCCGGACTATGACCTTTCTGTCTTAGAGCAGCATCGTACCCGGACTATAACCTTCCTGTCTTAGAGCAGCATCGTACCCGGACTATGACCTTTCTGTCTTAGTGCAGCATCGTACCCGGACTATGACCTTTCTATCTAAGTGCAGCATCGTACCCGGACTATAACCTTCCTGTCTTAGTGCAGCATCGTACCCGGACTATAACCTTTCTGTCTTAGAGCAGCATCGTACCCGGACTATGACCTGCCTGTCTAAGTGCAGCATCGTACCCGGACTATAACCTTTCTGTCTTAGTGCAGCATCGTACCCGGACCATAACCTTTCTGTCTAAGTGCAGCATCGTACCCGGACTATAACCTTTCTGTCTAAGTGGAGCATCGTACCCGGACTATAACCTTTCTGTCTAAGTGCAGCATCGTACCCGGACTATAACCTTTCTGTCATAGTGCAGCATCGTACCCGGACTATAACCTTTCTGTCTAAGTGCAGCATCGTACCCGGACTATAACCTTTCTGTCTAAGTGCAGCATCGTACCCGGACTATAACCTTTCTGTCTAAGTGCAGCATCGTACCCGGACTATAACCTTTCTGTCTAAGTGCAGCATCGTACCCGGACTATAACCTTTCTGTCTAAGTGCAGCATCGTACCCGGACTATGACCTTTCTGTCTAAGTGCAGCATCGTACCCGGACTATGACCTTTCTGTCTAAGTGCAGCATCGTACCCGGACTATAACCTTTCTGTCTAAGTGCAGCATCGTACCCGGGGTATAACCTTTCTGTCTAAGTGCAGCATCGTACCCGGACTATAACCTTTCTGTCTAAGTGCAGCATCGTACCCGGACTATGACCTTTCTGTCTTAGTGCAGTATCGTACCCGGACTATAACCTTTCTGTCTAAGTGCAGCATCGTACCCGGACTATGATCTGGGTGTCTTAATGCAGCTCCATACCCGGACTATAACCTTTCTGTCTTAGTGCAACATCGTACCCGAAGATGTATTTTCTTAGGGCTTAATATCCATGGCAAGAACTCTTTCCGGACAAAATCGTTTTATAACAGTCTCCTGATTTTATATTTATATTGAGGCCTCGATTTTGAATGTAGTTTGATACCGAACTTCCTATCAGAACAGAAGCATGGAGATCAACTATGGTTGTACCCGAGGACGTTCTGTATAATAAAACCTCATCATCTTCTTGAACGAGCTATCTTGTTAGTGATAGGAGTGAACGAGATGGTGACTCCCTAAAACGACGTTATATTGTGGAATGGGTCCGGGACATGTGTCACTGAACACTGAATGTATCGAACCGTGGATAAACGACGATGCGTTGACTGATGTTCACTCGCCTCTCTGCTGCCATATGACTTGGTAACATATAAACCACAAACACGCTCACAATAATAAGGAACATTGTCAGATATCAGTTTCCTGAGTGTTACACACACTCAGATTGTGCTCTTATTGTCAGATTTTTGCTTCATTCAAATTGTTTACATGATCTGTGTTTCCAAGTCAGGCAGATTGAACTGGGTGGCCGTGAGGGGTATGTTCTCAGAGAATCAATGTAATGGGGCCATTCCTCTACTTACTCGACGAATGTAAAGGTTGACGAAGTCTCAAATGGCAGTTACTACAACTGCTTTGTGAAACAACATTGTCACCGTCAATTCGTGTTTGGCGGAAAGATTCGAGGGAAGCGCCGTATAATATGTAATGATCATTGAAGATGGGGGCGGCTTGTTTGTTGTCAAATATGATGGGAATATCCCATGTTTTGAAAAAAAGGTTGTAAGCTTGCCTAAAATATACCCCAGCGCGTGTCAGCCATTGACATGTGTGCTGTATCAAAACAGAGATGTTCAGACAAAATATTCTATGAAAGAGTAGTTTATTGTCATACAGGAATATATAATACAGACACATGAATATGACGTCGCTGATTGCCACTTGTGGCGGTGGTCCGATATTGGCACATGACTGCTGCACCCGATGGAGGCAAGATGTTGGTACGCCGATTGTAACATCAGCCAACATAGACCAGACCCAACAACCACATAACTAGAGGTGCGCTACACTAGTCCTCACAACATATTTCTTCAATTATTTCAAACGTTGTATCCTTTAACTAACTTCCAGCCAAGTTTTCACCCACATATAGAAATACATAGAAAAACAATTTTCATGCAAATTTTGTTTCATTTCAGACATGAAATGGCAAATTATTGTAATGAGTTTCAAACGGCCAGGACGATGTTAGCACCACGGTAACATTGCCTATATTACACAAGACTCACTGGCATACACCAGATCCCCGGTTACGTGATCATGTTAATGCTACGACTGTGAAAATTCCAGAATCAAAATTTATGGGAAAACTTTCTTGATCGTAATTTGATCGCGGTGTCGCTCAGTGTTATGAACATATTCGACTTTAAAGGAACATTCTAGATCACTAAGTATGTCCTCACATCTTTCATTGATACAATGGTAGAGCCGGCATTAAGACGCATGAAACACGCGCAGGAAGACCTTGATAGTGTCACTACAAGGAAGTCCTCTGACCACAGTCCCACCAGGCTGCCCACACTGTTTGTTTTGGAGGCACTGTTGGTCTTACAACTGACACACTGCTCTCTAGTCAAATGTATTACTGTCACGTTCAGTGACAAGAACTAACCATGTCAGGTGTGGTCAATTAGAATCCTTACCTCTACACAAAAGGTCAAAACACAATTACACGGATCATTACTCCGAATTACTTCCCCGTAGATAGTCATCAATGCGGTAAATTAGATTAGTTAGGTGTGAAGTACATATATATCACTTGTTGAGGAAATCAATGCTAGCTCGGACACATCGTCCTGTAGCGACATCCATGGCGCTCACTTTAATCTCCGTGTCCCCGAACATCATCCTGGCCTGAATCTCACGTCGAGTCGGCAGGTGGTCAGCATCTTCATCCGATAAGTCCAGACACAAACTGCCACACTTCCTCACACCGGGGTCTGTGATGAAAGCTGAGTCTTTACTGTCACTCGAGTAGATATGTATGACACTAACCATCTGATTGGCCTTTGCAGGCGTGTAACTACGAATAACTGTGTCGCCTAATGTGATTGGTTCATCCTCATGAACAAACACGTCAAACACATCAGTGCACCAATCAACACCGTCTCTGTGAACAAGCTTACTGGATGGATGACGGGACTGGTTGAATCGGTTAAGAACGCCAACCCCATACGTCAACCTTGACCTTCTGATATTGACAACTGTTGGATCAAGGCCAAACAACACTGCGCCTGTAAATAATATATGATATGACAATCCATTCACGAAATTATTTAAAATTTGTAAAAATAAATGTTATATATAGATTAGCAATATCATGTATAACATGGCATAATCATATGTGTAACAGTTGCATAAAACATTTCATTATCTTTAACTGTGACGAATGAAGTGCAATCAGTTATTCTTATCAATTTATCATATGTTTATGGGGAACCCATTTGGACAGCTTTTTGAAGTGTATGTACATGTTGTGTTTCGAGAGTTACATAGGTAACATTGACTTATAGTGGGTAATACTGTGTTGACCCTGTTTCATTTGAGGGTTGTGTGCTGGAGTACCTTTCAGTATGGCCAGGCTGACTCCAGTGGGGATGAGAACTTTAAGGATAGCGGAGAACTCCTTGCGGACTTCATACTGCAATGTGGCTGACTCGGCGAATCCTCCCACCAGGAACAGGAATTTCAGATCTGTCAATACAAATGACACGAATGATACATACATTAGGCACAGTGTCATGATCATACTTCAGATCGAGATTTAATAATAACAACGTGAGATAAACGTGAACCGAATATGTGTAGGAGGAAGACGACCCAAGCATGAACGTGACTTACGTCTGGCGTCCGGGTTATTGAGGACGTCCCCGATGGCGTGTTTGATCTTCTCCATGACGGGGACGAACAGACACCTCATGGCGTGTGGGCTGAGTCGCAGCATCCCCTCCGACGACCAGCAGATCTCCTTGTTGCCGTACCGCTTCACAACACTGTCGATGTGGCCCCCCTGCAGAATAACGTTCAGAATGTATGTTAACCCCCTCCTTCCTACAGGACATGCAACTGAATGTATGTTAACCCCCCTCTCCTGCTGGACCTGCATTGAGAGTCTTTACGGAGGGCCATAAGAAATATTGCACATATTTGGGGCAGGTCATGAAGTAGACATTTAATAATGAAAAGTGATTAGGAGTTTTGTCATGTGAAAAATGTACAATGGCATAGGGAGGGTCAACCAAACACATGACAAGTATTAAGGGAGGGTAATTATTTTCAGTACATTAGTGCATCCAAAAAACCAACCCTCCCAATCTGTATTAAATGACTGGTCCCTAATGTCATTACATGCCACTGAATGTATGTTAATGAAAGACGATATAAGTAAACGTTACTGGGTGTATCTCAGAAGAAGATTTATAACACCAACCGTTGTGATAACAATATGATATAAAATGTATGCATATGTCGGTTCTGTTTGACACAAACTATTCGTGATAACCACGATGATACGATAATCAGCTGAGGATATTATAACAATTGACGGTCCCTGTCTCACTCCACAAGTCATGTACAGGATGAAGGTATGTTGGCGCTACCTTCTGCTTCTTATAGTAGTCAATGAATGTGAAGGGCAGAGACACGTTCAGGGAGTTGTTCTTGTAGGGGCTCGCTGAACGCTTCCGAGACTCGAAGTTGATCATGAGGTTGACCCAGCCGACTGGGTACTTGGCCCGGTAGTGAGCGATGAAGTCGTGGCCGAAAATATCACACAGCAGGTTCACAAACTCATCGTCCACCGCTGCAAGTGTACACACATATGTAACAGTCTTACATTTGACTTTCTGCTCCCAGATGTATCCTGCCTAAGTGAATCTAATCTCAATATAATGTACCATACTGACGAAAAGAGAGCTCGACAAAAAACCGTAATGAGATACCTAGAATCATTTCTTTGGCTTACACAGCTCTATCAAATACCGTGGTACTGTCAGTACCTCCATTGTTTCATCAATCTCTTTATAGTACGTGTTACTTTATACCAGAGAGTGCCATCGTTAACCTGGCCCCTGTGCGAGACCCACACCTGTTGCACCATAAGGTCCCCCAGTAGCCTTGTAGAGCTCCGTCAGTTTGTTGTCGTTCCCTAGTTCATGCACCGTGATGTCCACTGTCCCGCCTCCACAGTCCACGACCATGTACCGAGTTCCTGCGGAGAGAATACAACAGTGGATCTGTTCCCATACTGATGGTTTGGCATTGCTTGTGTTGTTATCATATAATTGTCTTGGTCCAATATCATATCGGTACCACTGATTCCTAAACATTGCACACCCTGAATGTCGTATACACGTACTATCCTACAATAATATACATGCATATGATAAATCACAATTGCTGCTATTGATCAGCTGATAAGGGATAAATTATTATTGTTCCATCACTTGGTGATATATGAAGTCATGCCAAGAAAAGGACAGATATCACTTGTGGTATTTAAGTATGTTGAAACAGCACTCACGTAGTATAAGAAACATTAACATTATATCCGGTTTGTCTTCTTTCAAGATCAGTTATGAATGACGAGATATCGTGCATGATAAAGGTATGGTTGGATAAATATGGTACATGACGTCATCACAGTGATTTCATTGTCGGTTGATGCGGACAGTAGCCACTTCAGTGAGTGAGTGTAACATGTCAATTTGATGCTTGATCATATCTCTCACTGACCCCTGAGCCTATTCTAATCTCACTGACCCCTGAGCCTATTCTAATCTCACTGACCCCTGAGCCTATTCTAATCTCACTGACCCCTGAGCCTATTCTAATCTCACTGACCCCCTGAGCCTATTCTACTCTCACTTACCCCTGAGCCTAGTCTACTCTCACTGACCCCTGAGCCTATTCTAATCTCACTGACCCCTGAGCCTAGAGATGGTTGCATGTATAGCTGTAGAATGTTGTGATATACGGAGAGATGTTTGCATGTATAGCTGTAGATTGTTGTGATTTTAGGAGAGATGGTTGCATGTACAGCGGTAGATTGTTGTGATATAAGGAGAGATGGTTGCATGTATAGCTGTAGATTGTTGTGATATAAGGAGAGATGGTTGCATGTATAGCTGTAGACTGTTGTGATATAAGGAGAGATGTTTGCATGTACAGCGGTAGATTGTTGTGATATACGGAGAGATGTTTGCATGTATAGCTGTAGATTGTTGTGATATAAGGAGAGATGGTTGCATGTATAGCTGTAGATTGTTGTGATATAAGGAGAGATGTTTGCATGTACAGCGGTAGATTGTTGTGATATAAGGAGAGATGTTTGCATGTATAGCTGTAGATTGTTGTGATATAAGGAGAGATGGTTGCATGTATAGCTGTAGATTGTTGTGATATAAGGAGAGATGGTTGCATGTACAGCGGTAGATTGTTGTGATATACGGAGAGATGTTTGCATGTATAGCTGTAGATTGTTGTGATATAAGGAGAGATGGTTGCATGTATTGCGGTAGATTGTTGTGATATAAGGAGAGATGGTTGCATGTACAGCGGTAGATTGTTGTGATATAAGCAGAGATGGTTGCATGTATAGCGGTAGACTGTTGTGATATGAGGAGAGATGGTTGCATGTACAGCGGTAGATTGTTGTGATATAAGGAGAGATGGTTGCATGTACAGCGGTAGATTGTTGTGATATAAGGAAAGATGGTTGCATGTACAGCGGTAGATTGTTGTGATATAAGGAGAGATGGTTGCATGTATAGCTGTAGATTGTTGTGATATAAGGAGAGATGGTTGCATGTATAGCTGTAGACTGTTGTGATATAAGGAGAGATGTTTGCATGTACAGCGGTAGATTGTTGTGATATACGGAGAGATGTTTGCATGTATAGCTGTAGATTGTTGTGATATAAGGAGAGATGGTTGCATGTATAGCTGTAGATTGTTGTGATATAAGGAGAGATGTTTGCATGTACAGCGGTAGATTGTTGTGATATAAGGAGAGATGTTTGCATGTATAGCTGTAGATTGTTGTGATATAAGGAGAGATGGTTGCATGTATAGCTGTAGATTGTTGTGATATAAGGAGAGATGGTTGCATGTACAGCGGTAGATTGTTGTGATATACGGAGAGATGTTTGCATGTATAGCTGTAGATTGTTGTGATATAAGGAGAGATGGTTGCATGTATTGCGGTAGATTGTTGTGATATAAGGAGAGATGGTTGCATGTACAGCGGTAGATTGTTGTGATATAAGCAGAGATGGTTGCATGTATAGCGGTAGACTGTTGTGATATGAGGAGAGATGGTTGCATGTACAGCGGTAGATTGTTGTGATATAAGGAGAGATGGTTGCATGTATAGCGGTAGACTGTTGTGATATAAGGAGAGATGGTTGCATGTACAGCGGTAGATTGTTGTGATATAAGGAGAGATGGTTGCATGTATAGCTGTAGATTGTTGTGATATAAGGAGAGATGGTTGCATGTACAGCGGTAGATTGTTGTGATATAAGGAGAGATGGTTGCATGTATAGCTGTAGATTGTTGTGATATAAGGAGAGATGGTTGCATGTACAGCGGTAGATTGTTGTGATATAAGGAGAGATGGTTGCATGTACAGCGGTAGATTGTTGTGATATAAGGAGAGATGGTTGCATGTATAGCTGTAGATTGTTGTGATATAAGGAGAGATGGTTGCATGTACAGCGGTAGATTGTTGTGATATAAGGAGAGATGGTTGCATGTATAGCTGTAGATTGTTGTGATATAAGGGGAGATGGTTGCATGTACAGCGGTAGATTGTGTCGTGGCTGCAGGTCTAGTAGATGGTGAGATGATTCTATTAGTGAAGATGAGATGGTGAGGTGATTGTGTGAGTGAAGATGAGAAGGTGAGATGATGGTATGGGTGAAGGTGAGATGTTGATGTTGACAGAGGGCCCGCATCTACAGTGACAAACGCGTGCGTCATCGGGTGAGAGTGAGCCTGTTGCTGGGACAAGTGCAAGTGTACCTTTAATCTTACTCTCCAGGGGATGGTCGGGGGGCAGATCGAAGGGGGGACGGGCGACATCTGCAAGGGTCAGCATGTAATACAGCATTATACTTCAGGACGCGTTGCAACGGTTGAACTCTGGCTTACCTCGGCCCTCGTTGTAATTGAAGCAACATTCTTCAAACCACTTCACAAAATTGTATCGATGGTTTAATAGTTACACAAAAAGGTAATTAAATTAATTTCATAAGTTGGGTATTATGATGATCAAAAGATTAGCAAGGGAACCGAGGAGCACGGAGAGTTATATATTAAAATGTTGGTAGTTGGATAAATATATGTTGATGAAGGTAATATATGAAATTATGCATTTAGGATGACGTTAATGCCAGAAGGCCAAAATCAAGTTCAGTAGGAAGGATCAAGGGTATTTATGGTGTCTGCATGTCAGTAGTAATCGTTTAGCAATACACAATGTACAAGTAAGTTGTCTAGTATGTTTATATTGTCAATACACCATGCTATGCATACCGTCCCTGGCATCTGTGCAGGCAAGGCCGTCGTTGATAGGTACAGGCAGAGAGTATCTAGGCGACTGTAGGGGGAGCCTCTCTGGATACTCAGGGATCAGTTGATACATGCGCAGTTTGCGACAGTAGATGGATGCAGCTTCCGGCTCTAGAGCAATCAGAAGCTGGTCAGGACAGTCTGGGGAGACGAGGTCGGCCTGAAACACGTTCAGTCGTAAACTGTTTACATCGTTCCTTCTTACCTAAAGTACATTACACGTATGAGTGGGTTGGGCTTAACGCCGGTTGGAACAGTATTTCAGTATATAACGGCGCATTAGGCTCATGTGGTAGAAGCCCAAAGTGGTGCAGGTCGTTAACCATGTGGTGCAACTCACATACGTGAGTATGGTGATGGTTCACACGGTCCCTCCTTAACATGTTATCAGTACTTCAGAAAGACATTTTCACACAAGGTGATGCTGCAATTCAAAAACTATACATGTGGTGGTACTATAGCAATAGTTCAGGGGATCTGAAACAGCCGACGTGTCAGACCTCGTATGCAGCCTGCCTCATGAACTGCTTGGCTGGAGCCTTCCAGATGGCAGGCACAGTGATGACCCATCTGACGTCATCGTTGATGACGGTTATCCCTGACTGGTCAGACAGCTGCTGAAGAGCGTGTTCCTTGAAGAAGCGGAGGGCCAGGGCGAAAACCCTCAGTGCGGGGAACATCTCACCATTGCTGGCCGTTAGCATCGTGTCCTTGGTCAGGTCCTGGAAACAGTAGAGGGGCACTTCAGCAATAGTATATGTAGAGGTGAGCTCTGGGGACATGGATCTAGCACTGAAACTACCGAGTGTCTTGGAAGTGATGATTTCGATCCTCAGACACATGATTCTATTACATGATGTCATATGTGTGTTTTGCATAATTTGAATAATATTTAGGAGATAAACCTACTGTGTTTGAAAATTAGATTATTGTTAGACCGAATCGATAGTCTCTAAATAATATTTGAAACAGAACGCGTAGCATGACCGATTTAAAATCGAACTCTTTCGCGCGGTGGAACTTTTCTGAAAGGAAATGGTATTTTTTTGTAATTATGCTGAACATTGTAACGTTATTAAGTACTCTTGAAGAGAAAACCCCAAATTATCTTTTTAATGCAACAATTTAATGCACTGTAAATAAGCAACAGCTTGCTTATAACAAAACAGACAACAAAAACCAGCCTAACTGTTTGGTGTGCCCTACTACAGTACCAACACAACATCGACTGGCCCGTCAACTTTCTGGTAAGTAGTTGTTGACAATAACAGAACAGTTTGAATGTCGAAAGAGGCGGACATTACAGTCTTTTACATTTTGTGCAAGGTTGAGATGATTGAAATTTGAAATGACAGTGGAGGATACTTGACTGACTGTCGAATCTGAACCCTGTAGAACAGAAGAACAGTACTGTTTCTGATCGGCCGACGAGTCAGTGTTGTGAGTTTGATGATTTCACCCTTTACCCTGGCATGAGACAAAAGAGTAACAGTGGTGGCCCTAACGCAATGATTTGTGACGGGATTTGCGGGTGATGATTCACGGAATCTCTACAATAAGTCATATGTATATGTTGCTTTATTTCACCAAAAATGTGATTAGATTTTTGGAGTCGTGTTGTTTTGAAAGACAAGCGGTTACAATGTCTTTTGCAATACATTTTCAGACAGCAAAACGTTTATCCGATAGGCATAGAAGACATGTGCAACAGCTTTCATCAAGAAGTGTCCATACAATGCATGTGATAGCTTAAAACGAAAGAATAATGATGTGTTGATCTATAACTTGATAACTCTGAGATAAAAAACAATGGTTGTAGCAGTAGTGGTGACATCAACTTCCTGCCTTCCCTGTGTGGTTCCTGTGGAATGCAAGCTCACATACCACAACGGACATGCACATTGTCTGCTGACCTTCCGTACCTCCAACACAGTTCACGCCCATGTCACCAGACTGCTCCACTGTAGCCAAGATTGTCTTGTCAAGTAACGTCTCACTTATACATTGCTAAAATATTCCTAAAAGATGTTGACTCGTCATATCGTTACACGGCTTCGTATTTCAGGAGCATGTTACTATGAACATGCAGTTTCAGATGCATATAGTAAACTGCAAGCAACAAACATCTAACTGATACTATGTACGTCCCAATGGCTCCCAACACTGCATGCTTGTCTCTCCTTGTGGATAATATGAACAGAACATGCCCCCAGTACTGCAGGCTTGTCTTCCCTTGATGATTAGGAACAGAACAGGCACCCGGTAATGTATGATTGTCTTTCCGTGGAGACTCTGAACAGAACAGGCCCACAGCAGCGTATGCTTGTCTTCCCGTGGAGACTCTGAACAGAACAGGCCCACAGGAGTGTATGCTTGTCTTCCCGTGGAGACTCTGGACAGAACAGGCCCACAGCAGTGTATGCTTGTCTTCCCCTGGAGACTCTGAACAGAACAGGCCCACAGCAGTGTATGCTTGTCTTCCCGTGGAGACTCTGAACAGAACAGGCACCCAGAATTGCATGCTTGTCTCTTTGTGGAGATTAGGAACAGAACATGCACCCAGTAGTGTATGGTTGTCTTCCCGCGGAGACTCTGAACAGAACAGGCACCCAGTACTCCATGCTTGTCTCTCCTTGTGGAGATTAGGAACAGAACAGGCACCCAGTAGTGTATGCTTGTCTTCCCGTGGAGACTCTGAACAGAACAGGCACCCAGTACTCCATGCTTGTCTTCCCGTGGAGACTCTGAACAGAACAGGCACCCAGTAGTGTATGATTGTCTTCCCGTGGAGACTCTGAACAGAACAGACCCACAGCAGTGTATGCTTGTCTTCCCGTGGAGACTCTGAACAGAACAGGCACCCAGTACTCCATGCTTGTCTCCCAGTACTCCATGCTTGTCTCCCAGTACTCCATGCTTGAGGAAAGATCAGACTGTATTTATCATCTGGGGTGATAACGTGCGACGAGGCAGATTTGTGTGATCCTGTATTTTACTTGCGGACCATTGCTCCTGCTTCAAGACAGCTATACTTTGTCAAAGTCAAGTCAAAGAAGTTTATTGTACAAAAGGCCACCGGCCCATATACAAGAAAGAGTTACGCATGTAGATACAATTATATATGTTACACATTGGGATATACACGTTGTTTGATTAATTCATTTCTTTTGGCTAATGCATGCTTAATATAAAGAGAAAGATTTAATATATTTGATTCGTCCTTTGTCGTCAGCATAACTACAAAGGCGTTTATCGGTGACATTGCTATTAAATAATCTTTTATATATTTCTTTCGGAGATCATTGTAAAATGGACAGACAAACACAAAATGAATTTCATTTTCTATCTCTAGATTACACAATGGACAAATTCTTTTCATTTTTTCAATGGACAGTTTTCTTCCTTCATTTACAAATAGGTCTAGCAAACCAAGTCGATATTTAATTAACTGTTTTCTTAAGTTTTCCGTAGTGAGTACTGATAAATATATTTCTGGTTGAAGTAAAGTCTTGAAAGTTTTGTAATATTCATAACGTGAACTATGCTCTAAAGTGGAGTGCCATTCTTGGTAGAACATATTTATAGACCGATTCCGAAATTCATTAAGAAACATATTTACATTTCCAACTGACTGACCATATAAAACCAAAACCATGCGAAAATAAAAGATTTCTTATATGCGATGTCCAAGTATTCTTTCCCATGTTATCTAAAGCTAGAAGCATGTTATAAGCTAATTTGGGGAGACGTTGTTCATGCATATGAAGAATTTTAAACCAGTATTTTAAACATCTGATCTGAGAATTAATATATAATTGGTATCTCCCACATTCACCATAAACCATGAAATTTGGTGTAGAAGATCCGACACAAAGAAACTTTTTACATGCTAATAAATGAACCTTCTCTAAACAGTTATAACGTTGAAATCCCCATACTTCAGAACCATACAATAAAATTGGTTGTAACTGGGTATCAAAAAGGTTAAAGAAGATATTAGGTGACATCGATCCCACTTTATGAGAAATAGACATTGCACTTATTAAAGCTTTCTTTGCACGCAAGGACAAGTCAAGGGCACATTTTTTCCAATTCATTGTGTGTGAGAACCAGATTCCTAAATATGAGTAGTGATCTACTATATTGACTAACTGACCATCGAATGACCATCTCTCTTTCGACGCTATTGGCCACCTTTTCTGAAGATCACAATTTTAGTTTTTTCCAAGTTTACTGATAATTTCAATTCTTTGGTGTACGTACTTAAACTATTTAATTGCCTTTGAAGACCAACAACAGTATCTGACACTAGAATGACATCATCTGCGAAAAGTAGCATTAATATTTCTATCCAATCTGGGAACATTTGGATACCATGTTTACCACTGGCAGCTATTTCGTAGTATAATTCATTAATGAAAAATGAAAATAAGATCGGACTCAAAATACAGCCTTGTCTTAGGCCCAAAGGACAATCAAAGAAATCTGTTAAACTATCCCCACAACGAACACATGATCTCACTTTAGAATACATTGATTTTAGAATAGTAAACATTTTCCCACGTAAACCAGCTTTTCGTAGACATGTCCATAGCTTAAAGCGATTGACAGAATCAAAAGCCTTTTTAAAATCTACAAATGCTACATACAGTTTATGCTTACGCCGTGACAAGGTTTTTTGAATAAGTGCATAAAGTGTAAATACATGATCTACGGTGGAATAACTTTTTCTGAGGCCAGCTTGAAATTCAGGAATCTTATCACGCAGGGTCGCCCATTTTGAAATTCTATTGTTTAATATTGAAGTAAATACCTTTCCTAAAATGCTCATTAATGAAATACCTCTATAGTTATCTGGGTCACTCCTGTCTCCTTTTTTATGCAGGGGGATTATTATAGAACATGACCAATTGCTTGGGAAAACTCAATTTTCAAATAGCTTGTTAAAACATTTGCAAAGAAAAGGCACAACTTCAAACTTAGAACACTTCAACATTTCGATAACTACATCATCAGGACCAGCTGCTTTTCCCTTCTTGAGGCGATTTATCGCATCTAATATTTCGTTTTCAACAATGGGTGAATCTAGCAGAACTTCATCAACATCCGTGTAGCATTCACTAAAATCAAGACGCGAGAATGTACATGCCGCCGTGAAACAGCGAGGAAAGCATTGACTATGACGTGAAATAACGTTCACTCAAGTAGATAGCAATGATAATGTTGTATCCTGAAATTATCTTTTATTTTTACCGTTAATTATCTGAAACAATGCATATCTTTTCTTTACTATGTTCTTCATTTATTAAACGCGATACAGTTGTCTTAACTGTAATGTGGACGATCTGGGCAATCAGAACCAGTGCATGTACCTCGAGGCGTCATGGCAGTTGAGTGAATAAACAGTCGTATTTTATGTGCTTTGGTGTGTTGAGAGTCTATCATTGTGCATGAATAAGAAGCAGTGTTCCTCTGGTATCGGAAAAGCAATGATGCTCCCCTGCTGCTGATGCTCTTATTGCTACTGTCAATGCTAATGTACTGGTGAATAGTGTCTTTATAGTTCCGTCTGATACCTACCATTCACAATCTTTCCGAGGCAAGAGAGTTAACTAGCTATGGAAGTTCAGTTTCCATCCTTGCCGAAAAAGGCTGGAATTTCATGGACCGATCGTAGCGCCACCAGTGGCTATTAAAAGTTATGTCCCTGCTATGCCCTCATCCCGCCCGTTATAACTCCTTTGCCTCAGTTGGGAAGATGACCATTCACATTAGCATAACATTTACTCAAATGCATATATAGGAACTAAACTATGTCTCCTACCAAACAATTACCGTATCCTCCAACTGGTTGACATATGTGTGTTACAAACCCCGAACTTTGCTCCCTCCCCGTCCCACATCCTGCATGAGCCTCGTGACCGTCCGGCAACCTGCACGTCCTCAAATAGCTGCATGCAAGTGCAGTCTTCCGGTAATTTGATCAGTTAAAGACCATGTATGTGTATGTAACAGCGACAACAACTATTTCGATAATCTTAAGAAATCACTAAAAAAAAAGTCCTTTGTGAGGTGAGGTGAAATGGGGTTTAACGTCGCTTTCAAGATTACGATTTGCTTGAATTGCTTCTCCTCAATAAAACGTGTTGTATTATTGTCGACGCCGTGATTACGTCATACTCTGACAGATTATAACATTCAAATCTCGGTAACAGCCACAACTATCTGCTAGCTGCGCGTTAGCTGCCTGCCATCATGGATGGATCGCTCTGAATGTACCGGCTGAGAAAACATGTCATTGTTACCGGTGTACTGAGTTTGGAATATATCCAGCAAGATGTTAAGTTCAAGTTGTATCATGACAACGAAACACGCAGATACACTAAAACAATTATATGATGAAGTTAAATAATGACATTGCTGTTAGTAGAAATACAATGGCGATGTTGTGTCCCACCCTCGCTCACAGAGCCCCGCGTGACGCGAGGAGAACCGCCTCAAGTCATGCCTTCCCACCTGCTTCAGTTGCTCCTCCACAATCAAATATTCCATGCACGCTTTGTACTCCGTAACATGTGTACACGAGAATTGAGAATTCTAACTGTGAATATAGACGCTTGGTTTCACAAATAGTTTAGTATGAAAATATTACCTTGACTGCCACAGTAAGCAAGTTTAGATTTACGCACTATACTTGATAAGAGAACGTAACACTTCATGGATTGAAAGTGAACTACTAGAATGCCAATCAAACACGACACTACGTGTAATTCCGTACTAGATATTGAATTCCTTATAATTACGCCATGCAAGTCATCACAAGTGCTCCATCGTAAGAACGCTTATTGATAGTGTGCCACACTGTGACAGTACACATATATAGTGTACACGACTAAACGGGCATTTTGTACCTGCCTGCGCTGTAGATATTTACTATCTGATATAGTGTACTCACGGCATTATGGTGGAGCACCATCTTGAACCTCTCGAAGTACATCCACTTCCTGGCTTCGTCAGGGGTCAGGTTGTGGTATCGATCTCGGGCCGTAAATCCGAAAGAGTCAAGATGTCCCTCGGGGGTGAGGAGGATGGTGGTGGGGGTCTTCTGGTTGATGACCCCTGGATCACCCCCCTCCCAGTTCCGCATCATGTGCACACTTTCAGGGTCACGGACAAAACTCAGTGCATATCCACTAAAGGTGGTTCCGAAATCTATGGCAACCACAACAAAATGTCCACGATGGCGCACAATTGCTGGCACGTCGGCCTCCATGGCCCGAGATGGTGTGGAGTGGGTGAACGAGGCTTCGAGCGTGTCGAATCCATTCAGATTGGGGTTTGATGTGGCTGCTAGGCTCTGTGACACGTTTAATGGGGAGTGTGAGGAGAGGGGGGTGAAGGGGGACAGAGACCTGTCACAGGTACCCTCAGAGCTGTATTCACTGAACCTGTGCTTCTTCCCCGTTTTCTTCCTTATGTCATCCGTGGAGGAGAAGCTGCTTTCACTGTCGGAACTCATGCCTCTGTCTTTCAGTGACGAGTGTGGGCGAGATGCATCTCCTTGGCTGACAGTTGACATGCCTAGAACGGGTATTGGTACGTGCACTGTTTGTTGAGGGGCGCTGACATTTCCCTCAACATGGGGGTTGCCACTTCCCTCCCCTTGAACACTTATAGTAGGAGGGCAAATATCTGGTGCATGGACCTTCACCTCAGATTCAGCTTCAAGCTCTGGAGCCTTCAGACCAATGCCAGAAATGTTAGTTCCGTGTTCACTCTTCACGTGACCTGTTACCGGAGATGGTCTGCCACCAGAACTAGTACCTGCGTCCAGAGTTTCGAGCCGTCGATCATCGGTGCTTTTTAAAATATTCTCCACTTTTTCAGCTCGTCGAATGCCCCCAGGTGGTTCAGGATCCCTCATATTCAGCAGATTTTGAGAAAATGTTGCTTTTGATATTTGGCTGGCCTCGTTCTCCACAACTTTGTCCTTCTTCATATCTTTACTTGTCTTGTCTTTCCCCTTTCTCTTGGGTTTCTCTATCTTCAGTTTAGTCTTATACTTCCTGAAACCACTACCACTGGAGGAGCTTGTCTCAGACTCGGACGTTGACGATTGCAGCTCGCCTCCAGATGGACCATTCTTTACACGATCGGACGCTGGCCTTACCATTCCTGAAGAATCACTTTCCTGTGATGTGGCATCCGTAACGGTATCCGGAGCTCCAGGGAGATAAATGTTATTACCCTCCGTCGTAACCCCTTTGTCGCTTGCACCGTCAGGCGCGGGTAGCGGCATCTGTGGGACAGGGGATCTCGGTGACGTAATAGCCACTTCACCACCAGGTGAATCGGCGTTTGGACCATCTGATCCAGCATTTTGTGTTACATTCTCTCTGTTATCAATAGCTGCATCCCCATCACGTGTCCCAGCAGCGACAATAATATTGTCGACATTGCAGCTGTTAGATTGCCTACCCGGCACCGCCATCACGACACCAACATCATCCTCGGGGGTATCACGTTCTTTGAACCCTGCTGGAGGGCGCAATTCCATCTGGCACGCCATGGCCCTTTCGAGGGGAACAGTTCTGAGAGGAAGACCACCCCCACGTACGTTCACCCCCACCCTAGGGGCGCAGTCTGAAGTACTGGACATGTGAGGCTGCAGCTCACGAGTGACTGTGGCGGTCGGTGAAGGCTGGGGGTCTGCTTGTGATGCCAGTTGGGTGGCGTGGCCAGGACCTGGGAAAACAATGGCCAAGTTTAGATAACAAGGAGCAGTTTGATCTATTGCTGTATGTCTCACCGGAGGTGATACAAAGTAATGTTACTGAGCATAGTCTTTTGCTTCCATAGAAAAGTTGATAAAAATACAATTCTTAATTACAAGGAATTATTCAAAGAGTACAATCACCATCTTAATGTTTCACAAATTATCAAATAATCTGATAAATTATATTGGTAAATAATTACAGGGTGTACGATCCGGGATCATATACACTTTATAATGTTACATATTATCCTAAAGCCTTAAAAGGAGTGGTGATAACATAGATTTTCGTTATAATAATCATGCATGCTCTCTATGACGTGACTCTTACCTGTACCGTTACTTAAATCAATGCATTTGACAGTCTGTGATAGTTTTACAACCCGCCACGTGTATGCCGAGGCACCAGTGTACACATACTGCACTGTCGTAATGAAGGGGTCGGTGCGGGGTCAGGTGAGCTTGGGGGTCAGAGGGGAGGGGCCGCTATTGTCCTACAACATTGTTTAGATAGTCAAGTCCGCTCATCAACAGACGCCAATACCGAGGTCATGGCACCTGACAGAGTGACTGTGTACATTAGTGTGCTGCGCCGCTTTATCTGCACATAGGCTAACATTTAAGAGAAACTGTAACAATAATTAAATTTTGATGCGTTCATTATTTCTCAATTTCGACAAATGAAACCACAGTGTCTTATATTTATCAAGAATTGAGTGAACCGGAGCATCAAATATGTCTATATCTTCAGACGTACCCGCAAAACCCCAAGGGACGCTATAACGTGATACGTTCTCCGAGACGGTTGCAGTATAACTCAACTGTTTTTGTAAAAAAATGTTGTGTATCGTCTTGAAGAGGGGATTGAATATCATATTATGTTTGAAATGATGATTCACCTTTCTAAAAATGATAATGATCCAACAGTGAAATTTAAATGATGACGAAAAATATATTTCGTATAACTTCCCTATGTCACCATGCAGTGTAGGTATGTCACATGCCACATAAGTTCCGCCGTGAGTCACAGATGCTGGAGTTATGTGACAGCGGGGAATATGTTTATGTTTTGACTGTACAGCGACGTCACGTGACCCAGGTTAACGCAGAAGCGAGCGCAATTGCCCCACAGCTCAATTAATTCAGAACAATTGACAAGATCTAATCAAAGCATGAAACCTGGGTTTAATAGAAGATTCTAGAATAACTGAGATAAGTTACGTTCGAAAGGGACGTCACATCAGCCTGTTTGACCAGGATAAACATGGTACATGGTACGTGGTCGTAATGTCGCCTGCTTCAATGTAAAAACAGATTACAGGAAATGTTGTTTTTTCGTGTGTATATATATATATATATATATATATATATATATATATATATATATATATATATATATATATATACGAAAAACATATATATATATATCAATCATGTACAACGACAACGTGCATATTATTTACTAAGTTGTTCTCCGCTCTGACTATGGGAGATTTATGCCCTACTGTATATAATATAAAGGCCACTCAAGATTGCCCACAAACACAGCCAGATAATGTGAAGAGCTCTTGGAGGTCTGCTTGTGTGGTGCTCGTCTCCTTCAGGGGCAACAAGAGCCCCCCTCCCGCTAACCTTTGTTGTCTGCCACACTTACAACCAATTAAAAGCCCCGCTTTGACATCTGGCGTGCGTTAAATCTTTTACAATATAGACTGTCTTGCCATGTGTTGTGTTTTGGAATCCCAGGAATGGTAGCATGTATGTTAAAGTATCAGTGGCGGTATCGGGGCCGATAATGTCTCATTACTTCCAGGTTTAGTTGGATGTATATTATTCCTATAAATATTTCGTTAATAAACCTGGGTGAAAATATATGTACATCTTTAAGATCTCTCATGCACGATTCAGTTTATGGTATATTTATTGGTGACACGGCGACATTAAAACATATTGTTTTCGGGGTAGAAGTAAAGCTACTATTTCAGTGATACGATTAACTACTGTTCTGTTGTGTACGGCACCCACACTCGTATGTAATACCATGGCAACGGTTACCGAAACTGATATGAATTATTTGACAAAATATCTACCACTGTCGTTTAGCTGTCCATACCTTCATCAGCTGATATCCTGGGGACGCCATCTTTCTTGACTTCATCTAGACAAACATACGTCCCGGTGTCGACGTCCGACTCACGGCTATGTCCGACACTGCCCAGAATCTGGATCATGTTCCCTTCTTGAAGCATCCCCGGGGAGTCAAAGGACAGACTGATGTACCCGAGGGACACCCCCCCTGCCACCACATCCCCGTCTACTTGTGGGTACAGACGACGCAGTTCCTTCTTCTCTGGTACCTTGTCTGCAGGTGGTGCTGACGCAACGTCATCGTGACACACCTGCTCTATAGACGCATCCGGTTCAATCTTCCGCTCGGCAGGCTCTGATGTTGATGGCGGCGTCTTCGGCATTCTCCGTGGCTTCTGGGGCTTCGTCTTCCCCTTGCTGCATGACGCTGATAAATGTGAAGAGAGTGACGCTCTGTCCGAGGACGTGTTGTGTTTGTCTGTGAGTGTCCTGCTGGAGATGGTGCTGGACGACTCAGAGTGGTGAGATGAGGACAGACTGGTAGTCTCGATACTCTTCACAGAGAGGAAATTGTTTTCCTCAGAGTGAGAGGATGACACGCTCGAGGTATCAGATGTATCATGGTGGACATTTACGTGAGCGGCAGCGGCATCACATGTGCAGCTTCGGCAGTGACGAGGGCTGCTCATTATGTCATCAGATTTCTTCTTACCAATGTCAAATATTTTCCTTATCTTACCTTCTTCGCGGGGCTTCCCATTCTTGTGAACTTCACAGGTATTCTTCTTGTGTTTTTGCTTCTTTTTGTCTTTGTTTTTAATGTTCTTTTCCTTTTTTCCTCTTTCTGTTTTGACTTTAACGCCAGGTCCGTTACTGGTTCTTTCTTCAGGCTGCTCACCTTTCCTTTCACTCGTGACCTCTGTCTCCCCTAAACTGTCAGCAAGTGCTGGGTCCGTGATGTGGGCATGATCAGCCTCCACCACATCCACCTCGGCGTTGGTATCAGCAACAACAGAAACGTCAAGTGACGTGATATTTTCGTCCTGAAAGGATGTTGCACCTTTGTTTGCAGGCGCGATCCCCGATTCCACTCCCTGCGCTTCCACAGATGGCTCCCTCACCTGTAGTTCTTCTCTACTGGACAACGATTTCGACTTCTTTGTTTTCCACAATCTTCCCCCCTTGCTCTTCTTCACATCTCTCTCGAGTGAGTGTACCGAACTAGGACTTCCCTCCCGTGTGTTTTGCTCCTTGGGCGTAGCTAGATCTGTGCTGCTGCCATCTCTAAGGTATGGTGTCATGTTGCCATTGACCTGTATACGTGACCAGTCCCTTTCCAAATCTATCTCATTGTCAGTTAGCTTTCGGTACTTTCCCGGCGTATCTTCTCGCAACAATAACGAGGTCTGCCGATTTACGTCATATTTCCGTCCCAGAGACATCGTCCAAACTGTTTATCTCAAACCGGCTTTGGTAACCCTTTACCTATTTATCTGGATCGTGTCATATATCCAATAACACACGCTCAGATAGCCTCCCTTGACTGTAGAACATCTTTGTAACAATATTGCTGGTACAAGACACTCTCTTGGCACATGTTCACTGTCACAATGTATAACATATACTCCAGTATGCGTGAAAAGAAATCAAACTAGTGTTTCCTCCACACGACTGATGTGTTGACTTATTACCAAGTTTGGAATATCCATTGAATATTCAGACATGGTCATCTGCTTCCATGGGTTGTTCGCTAACTATGAGAATGTATACTTGGCGACATCAGCTAATCAAGTGACGGCTGGGCACGGCAGACAACCCGGCGGCTGCGCGTGGGGGCAGGAACTAGCGGCGCAGGTCAGTGCGTAATTAGCTGTGTGTTTATTGGATGTGTTTAAACCATTTAATTAAGCGCTGACTTGTCCCCAATAAAATCATAAAGCTCTCCCATGAGATGAAGTGGGTGAGAGGCCAATATGACAGGGCGGCTCTTGGTGGCTCAATGTAAACACAATGTGAAGCAGACACCCTTCAGAGACAGGGTAGCAGGACAGGGGGGACCAGGCAGGGGGTGGGTAGAAGGGTAGGGCGGTCTGATTAGACCCCGGACATGTCTGGCATGTCGCCAGTGAGTGGACACGAGGGTCTACTCCAGCGTTTGTAGTGATAAATGTACAATAAATCATCGTGGTCATTAAACGAAGAATCCAACCATAGAATTCTTAACATTCGTTGCATTCTAACCGTCGAAGTTAGCATTTGGTGAAAGCCCTTAAAACAACAGTCGTGTTTGTTTTAGCTTTGACTTATATGTGCGCAAGTTGGTCAGTTGGTCAAGGGAAAGGTGAGATTACTGTGTTAATAGATCGGCATTGTAGGTTCGGATAACTCCAGGTATGAGAAAAAACTGAAAAGTCAATTTAAGTAGGCGATGTAATGTTTGCATCAGTTGAAATGGCGGAAACCCATTTTTGTGATCAGCAATGACAGTAGACTCACTGTAGGTACGAGGTGTGTGTTATGGGCGGAATGCATAGAATAGGTCTCAGTTCTCCCATGTATAAAGATTGTTAAAACATGTATATAGTCCTGCATTAACATGTACATGTTCATGAAGACAATCCACTCTGTCCTCGCCACCACTGAGGGAGGAAGTCGCTTGTGGTTGGCGGAAATGTGAAACACCGTTGTTCCCATATCGTGTAAGCGGTAAGTGTATATGAAAAAGGACTGTCATCTGATACCTTCCTAATTACCAGCGGTCCAAGGTCAAATGTCCCGCTAATTAGTCCCGAGTAAGGAGCGGCACGTCTGTGCTCTATGAGTGTATCAGCGTCGGTGATGCCGAGGGGGCGTGGAAAGTGAGATTATACACAAGGCTGGAGGAGACACAAGACGTGGTTATGAAAACAAGTGGCTGAGTGAAGACAAGGGATGTGTGAAGACAAGGGGTGGGTGAAGACAAGGGGGTGCGTGAAGGCAAGGGAATGTGTGAAGACAAGGGGTGTGTAAAGACAAGGGGTGGGTGAAGACAAGGGGGTGCGTGAAGACAAGGGGATGTGTGAAGACAAGGGATGGGTGAAGACAAGGGGATGCGTGAAGACAAGGGGTGGGTGAAGACAAGGGATGGGTGAAGACAAGGGATGGGTGAAGACAAGGGTTGTGTGAAGACAAGGGGGTGCGTGAAGACAAGGGGATGTGTGAAGACAAGGGGTGGGTGAAGACAAGGGGATGCGTGAAGACAAGGGGATGTGTGAAGACAAGGGATGGGTGAAGACAAGGGGTGGGTGAAGACAAGGGGGTGCGTGAAGACAAGGAGGTGCGTGAAGACAAGGGGGTGCGTGAAGACAAGACGATGTGTAAAGACAGGGGGGTGGGTGAAGACAAGGGGATATGTAACGACAAGGGGATGGGTGAAGACAAGGTGATGTGTAAAGACAAGGGGATAGGTGAAGACAAATAGATAGGTGAAGTATAGGGGATAGGTGAAGACAAGGGGATAGGTGAAGACAGGGGGTGGTTGAAGACAAGGGGATAGGTGAAGACAAGGGGATAGGTGAAGACAAAGGGATGTGTGACGACAAGGGGGTGGGTGAAGGCAGGACGATGTGCAAAGACAGGGGGTTGGGTGACGACAAGAGGATGTGTGAAGACAAAAGGAGGTGGGTGAAGACAAGGGGGTGGGTGAAGACAAGGGGGTGGGTGAAGACAAGACGATGTGCAAAGACAGGGGTTTGTGTGAAGACCAAGGGGATGTGTGAAAACAAAAGGGGTTGGGTGAAGACAAGGTGATGTTTGAAGACAAGGGGATTTGTGAAGACAAGGGGATGTGTAAAGACAGGGAGTTTGGTGAAGACCAAGGGGATGTGTGAAGACAAAAGGGGGTGTTTCAAGACAAGGGGATGTGTAAAGGCAAGGAGGTGGGTGAAGACAAGGTGATGTGTGAAGACAAAAGGGGGTGTTTCAAGACAAGGGGATGTGTAAAGGCAAGGAGGTGGGTGAAGACAAGGGGATGTGTGAAGACAAAAGGGGGTGTTTCAAGACAAGGGGATGTGTAAAGGCAAGGAGGTGGGTGAAGACAAGGTGATGTGTGAAGACAAAAGGGGGTGTTTCAAGACAAGGGGATGTGTAAAGGCAAGGAGGTGGGTGAAGACAAGGGGATGTGTGAAGACAAAAGGGGGTGTTTCAAGACAAGGGGATGTGTAAAGGCAAGGAGGTTGGTTAAGACAAGGGGATGTGTGAAGACAAGGAGGTTGGTTAAGACAAGGGGATGTGTGAAGACAAGGGGATGTGTGAAGACAAAAGGGGGTGTTTCAAGACAAGGGGACGTGTAAAGGCAAGGAGGTTGGTTAAGACAAGGGGATGTGTAAAGGCAAGGAGGTTGGTTAAGACAAGGGGATGTGTGAAGACAAGGGGATGTATGAAGACAAGGGGATATTTGAAGACAAGGGGAGGGGATGAAGACAAGACGATGTGTAAAGACAGGGGAATGAGTGAAGACAAGGGGATGTGTGAAGACAAGAGGATGTGTAAAGACAGAGAATGTGCAAAGACAAGGGGATGTGTGAAGCCAAGGAGGCGGGTGAAGACTAAATTGTGGGTGAAGACAAGGGGATGTGTGAAGAAAGGGGTTGGGTGAAGACCAGGGGATGTGTGAAGACAAGGGGATGTGTGAAGACAAGGGGATGTGTAAAGACAAGAGGATGTGTAAAGACAAGGAGGTGGGCGAAGACACGGGATGGGTGAAGACAAGGGGATGTGTGAAGACAAGGGGATGTGTGAAGACAAGGGGTGGGTGAAGACAAGGGGTGGTGAAAACACGGGGATGTGTGAAGAGAAATGGATAGGTGAAGACTAGGGATGTGTGAAGACACGGGATGGGTGAAAACACATGGATGTGTGAAGACATGGGGATGTGTGAAGACAAGGGATGGTGAAAACAATGGTGGTGGGTGAAGTCAAGGGATGAATTCAAGGGGGTTCATAAAGTCAAGGGGATAGGTACAAACAAAGGAATAGGTGAAGACAAGGTGATAGCTGAAGTCAAGGGATCTTGAAGACAAGGGCTTTGCAACATCTGTCTGGTTCCATCCTAATGGCCCATCTACCCTGACATCTGTCTGACTCCATCCTAATGGTCCATTTACCCTGACATCTGTCTGACTCTATCCTAATGATCCATCTACCCTGACATCTGTCTGACTCTATCCTTATGATCCATCTACCCTGACATCTGTCTGACTCCATCCTCCTGGTCCATCTACCCTGACATCTGTCTGACTCCATCCTAATGGTCCATTTACCCTGACATCTGTCTGACTCTATCCTAATGATCCATCTACCCTGACATCTGTCTGACTCTATCCTTATGATCCATCTACCCTGACATCTGTCTGACTCCATCCTAATGGTCCATCTACCCTGACATCTGTCTGACTCTATCCTAATGATCCATCTACCCTGACATCTGTCTGACTCCATCCTACTGGTTCATCTACACCGACATCTGTCTGACTCGATCCTATAGTCCATCTACCCTGACATCTGTCTGACTCCATCCTACTGGTCCATCTACCCTGACATCTGTCTGACTCCATCCTACTGGTCCATCTACCCTGACATCTGTCTGACTCCATCCTAATGGTCCATCTACCCTGACATCTGTCTGACTCTATCCAAATGGCCCATCTACCCTGACATCTGTCTGACTCCATCCTACTGGTCCATTTACCCTGACATCTGTCTGACTCCATCCTACTGGTCCATCTACCCTGACATCTGTCTGACTCCATCCTACTGGTCCATCTACCCTGACATCTGTCTGACTCCATCCTACTGGTCCATTTACCCTGACATCTGTCTGACTCCATCCTAATGGTCCATCTACCCTGACATCTGTCTGACTCCATCCTACTGGTCCATCTACCCTGACATCTGTCTGACTCCATCCTACTGGTCCATCTACACTGACATCTGTCTGACTCTATCCTAATGGTCCATCTACCCTGACATCTGTCTGACTCCATCCTACTGGTCCATTTACCCTGACATCTGTCTGACTCTATCCTAATGGTCCATCTACCCTGACATCTGTCTGACTCTATCCTACTGGTCCATCTACCCTGACATCTGTCTGACTCCATCCTACTGGTCCATCTACCCTGACATCTGTCTGACTCCATCCTACTGGTCCATTTACCCTGACATCTGTCTGACTCCATCCTACTGGTCCATCTACCCTGACATCTGTCTAACACCATCCTACTGGTCCATCTACCCTGACATCTGTCTGACTCCATCCTACTGGTCCATTTACCCTGACATCTGTCTGACTCTAGCCTAATGGTCCATCTACCCTGACATCTGTCTGACTCTATCCTACTTGTCCATCTACCCTGACATCTGTCTGACTCCATCCTACTGGTCCATCTACCCTGACATCTGTCTGACTCCATCCTACTGGTCCATCTACCCTGACATCTGTCTGACTCCATCCTAATGGTCCATCTACCCTGACATCTGTCTGACTCCATCCTACTGGTCCATCTACCCTGACATCTGTCTGACTCCATCCTACTGGTCTATCTACCCTGACATCTGTCTGACTCCATCCTAATGGTCCATCTACCCTGACATCTGTCTGACTCCATCCTACTGGTCCATCTACCCTGACATCTGTCTGACTCCATCCTACTGGTTCATCTACACCGACATCTGTCTGACTCCATCCTAATGGTCCATCTACCCTGACAACTGTCTGACTCTATCCTACTGGTTCATCTACACCGACATCTGTCTGACTCCATCCTAATGGTCCATCTACCCTGACATCTGTCTGACTCCATCCTAATGGTCCATCTACCCAGACATCTGTCTGACTCCATCCTACTGGTCTATCTGCCTTGACATCTGTCTGACTCCATCCTTATGATCCATCTACCCTGACATCTGTCTGACTCTATCCTAATGGTCCATCTACCCTGACATCTGTCTGACTCTATCCTTATGATTCATCTACACTGACATCTGTCTGACTCCATCCTACTGGTCCATCTGCCCTGATATCTGTCTGACTCCATCCTACTGGTCTTTCTGCCTTGACATCTGTCTGACTCCATCCTTATGATCCATCTACCCTGACATCTGTCTGACTCCATCCTTATGGTTCATTTTTTTCTCCAAAATAAGTGTCCTGACATGGCTTATGCTCCAAGCTAATAGTTCTAAACTAAGGACTGTGGGGCTCTAAACCTAGGATTCACCTTCTCTAATATTTGTTTAGCTCTATCTCGTCTACTAGCCTGAACATTAAGTACCCTATTTTGCTACATGTTAACGTCATGGTTAGTCTGGCGCCATATAAGTTGAGTTCGAGGTGACTGTCGATATGTTCTTGTTATTATAATAGCACTGTGATTTGACAAGTACCTCCACCATCTTACAACCTAGAGTTCCTTGTAATATTCGAACTGATCACACAGCCGAACATGTTCGCGGATTGCTTGATGCTTGAGATGGCTTGGGAAGTTGTAACGGAGCTGAGGGAGGTTACTTGATATATAATAGAAATGATTTCTGAATGGATACCTACGTTTCCATTCAAACAATGTGTATTTTGGGTCAAAATATACGACAAAGTAAATCATTAACAATACGGCATCTATTACGTCTGTCGATGCTGTCGATATCGATATTAACTATTGCTTTTTTAGCTTGCCATGGATGTATTGCACGAACAACTGCGGCGCATCGATGGTTCGATTGATCGCCACATCCCAACATAGAACCTTGACCGTGACACATTTGCCTTACCGTCGGGAAAACCCTCAGTTTTGCGTTAATACTACATGGGTATTCCCATAATAATCACAAACACCTGTCAGTAAACGTTATAAAAATTTATTAAAAATCAATAGTTTGATGTTTATGTACATGTATGTATTCACAACACAAGGTCTCGTTCCGATGTTGCTGTAGCGGTGATGTAGAGTAACTAGCATATCGTTCCCATGTTGCTGTAGCGGTGATGTAGAGTAACTAACATATCGTTCCCATGTTGCTGTAGCATTGATGTAGAGTAACTAACATATCATTCCGATTTTGCTGTAGCATTGGTGTAGAGTAACTAACATATCGTTCCCATGTTGCTGTAGCGGTGATGTAGAGTAACTAACATTTCGTTCCCATGTTGCTGTAACGGTGATGTAGAGTAACTAACATATCGTTCCCATGTTGCTGTAGCGGTGATGTAGAGTAACTAACATATCGTTGCCATGTTGCTGTAGCGATGATGTAGAGTAACTAACATATCTTTCCCATGTTGCTGTAGCGTTGATGTAGAGTAACTAACATATCGTTCCCATGTTGCTGTAGCGATGATGTAGAGTAACTAACATATCTTTCCCATGTTGCTGTAGCGTTGATGTAGAGTAACTAACATATCGTTCCCATGTTGCTGTAGCGGTGATGTAGAGTAACTAACATATCGTTCCCATGTTGCTGTAGCGGTGATGTAGAGTAACTAACGTATCGTTCCCATGTTGCTGTAGCGTTGATGTATAGTTACTAACATATCGTTCCCATGTTGCTGTAGCGTTGATGTATAGTTACTAACATATCGTTCCCATGCTGCTGTAGCGGTGATGTATAGTTACTTACATATCGTTCCCATGCTGCTGTAGCGTTTATGTATAGTTACTAACATATCGTTCCCATGTTGCTGTAGCGTTGATGTATAGTTACTAACATATCGTTCCCATGTTGCTGTAGCGGTGATGTATAGTTACTAACATATCGTTCCCATGTTGCTGTAGTGTTGATGTAGAGTAACTAACATATCGTTCCCATGTTGCTGTAGCGTTGATGTAGAGTAACTAACATATCATTCCCATGTTGCTGTAGCGGTGATGTAGAGTAACTAACATATCATTCCCATGTTGCTGTAGCGATTATGTAGAGTAACTAACATATCATTCCCATGTTGCTGTAGCGATGATGTGGAGTAACTAACATATCGTTCCCATGTTGTTGTAACGGTGATGTATAGTTACTAACATATTGTTCCCTTGTTGCTGTAGCGTTGATGTAGAGTAACTAACATATCTTTCCCATGTTGCTGTAGCATTGGTGTAGAGTAACTAACATATCGTTCCCATGTTGCTGTACCGATGATGTAGAGTAACTAACATATCGTTCCCATGTTGCTGTAACGGTGATGTAGAGTAACTAACATATCGTTCCCTTGTTGCTGTAGCGTTAATGTAGAGTAACTAACATATCGTTCCGGTGTTGCTGTAGCGGTGATGTAGAGTAACTAACATATCGTTCCCATGTTGCTGTAGCGATGATGTAGAGTAACTAACATATCATTCCGGTGTTGCTGTAGCGGTGATGTAGAGTAACTTACATATCGTTCCCATGTTGCTGTAGCGTTGATGTAGAGTAACTAACATATCGTTCCATGTTGCTGTAACGGTGATGTAGAGTAACTAACATATCGTTCCCTTGTTGCTGTAGCGTTGATGTAGAGTAACTAACATATCGTTCCCATGTTGCTGTAGCGGTGATGTAGAGTAACTAACATATCGTTCCCTTGTTGCTGTAGCGGTGATGTAGAGTAACTAACATATCGTTCCCATGTTGCTGTAGCGATGATGAAGAGTAACCAACATATCGTTCCCATGTTGCTGTAGCGGTGATGTAGAGTAACTAACATATCGTTCCCATGTTGCTGTAGCGGTGATGTAGAGTAACTAACATATCGTTCCGGTGTTGCTGTAGCGGTGATGTAGAGTAACTAACATATCTTTCCCATGTCTAGCTTTGATGTAGAGTAACTAACATATCGTTCCCATGTTGCTGGAGTGTTGATGTAGAGTAACTAACATATCGTTCCCATGTTGCTGGAGTGTTGATGTAGAGTAACTAAATTATCGTTCCCATGTTGCTGTAGCGTTGATTAAGTAACTAACATATCGTTCCCATGTTGCTGTAGCGATGATGTAGAGTAACTAACATATCGTTCCCATGTTGCTGTAACGGTGATGTAGAGTAACTAATATATCGTTCCCATGTTGCTGTAGCGGTGATGTAGAGTAACTAACACAAAGCCACGGAGTAGTGCAGAGGTGGCCAGCGAGAATAGCAGTTTTATTCTTACATATGTACATTCATACTGGTCAAATTAAGATGTTTGAATATCTTTTTCTGAAACTAGTACTGTAAATGTGCATGCCCTTAGTGACTGAATAGCTGCACGTTCGGCTCAGTGAAAGTCTTGTAGCACTATAGCATCATCAGAGTATCACAAGCAGAGTGTGTCGTCACGTGATCACGACCCCCTTGTGCAAAACCCCGCCTGTCTGCTGCTCTATCAGTGACGGCCAAAGGAAGCATTGAATGTCGTCACGATCGGCGTTTGATGTATGGAATCGGGTGTGGGAATCGGCAGAGAAGGAGCGGCTGTCGTACACGATGATGTAGGAAGGGTTGAGGACGGACAACCCCCACGAAAGGCGGACACACTCCCGGATGTAGTCGACCAGCACTGGACAGTCCTTGAGACAGGGATAGTCGTACAGGGTGGCGTAGATCTGCGTGCATACATCCTGTCATGACAAAGGGGAATGCATTATTGCATCGCACCAGAAAAGAGATGGTTTCAGACCAACTAGAGTAACATCTAGTCTCCGAAATGAATATATGTTACAGAAAAGAACGTTGTTAAATTAGTTCAATACAATTTGATAAAAAGTAGCCCAGAGACTCTCTTCACTTTTAGATGAAACTAACTGCATTAATCTAGACTTGCCAACTAATATAGACTTGCATGGGCGATATTGGATATATTTGTTCCAGGGTCTGTACGACAGACCATATCCAAGCATGCACCCTGGCTTATCAAGTGCATTATAGCTCAGTTCTGTTACGATAAATACACAATTGTCAAACATATTTCTATGTACATATATCATTCAATGTTTTAAGGACTAATATATAAAATCGTATAATAAAACCATTCCCAAAAACATTACTAGTATTACCATGGCTTGTAGGACAAACTCCATCACCCCAACCCCCTTTATCTAGGTCAGTGATTCCATTGTCTTCAACTATGTCAACTGCTGTAGCTATATTCAGTCTAATCTTCTGAAACATTGCAACTTTGATTATAAATGAATGCTTTATTCAGTAAATAGGCCAGCGCCACCGGCCCTTTTCACAGTGAAAGCACAAACGGTTTGACTTTGATTACGATAAGAATGTGTTTACATAGTGTACCAACCTGCACACATTTACATAAGTCAAATCTGTCAGCTGACTGGCTGAGGTAGTAATCTAGGTGGCGTTCCAAGTCACGTGACAAGGGGTCGACGTCACCGGAAGCTGCATCGGGAGTGGGGATATTGAGCATCTGGTGCAGTTTCTGTTTAAGATCTTGCAAGGATTGTTGAACTGCCCGGAAGGCTAACTGGAAAACAAAGGAATTGTTTTCACTTTCTTGACCGACTTGTTTGAGAGGCATTTATAAGTTTGAGTACCGAGGAAGGAGAAGACACATGGATGAACAAGTTCTTTATTACATTTAGTAGCGACGTTTCAGTGTTGGTTCTAACATAGGCTCCCTTACAGTTCAAAACATGCTTCTCCACTCCCCTGTAACCACACCCCAATCTATGTAACTGCATAAACTCTACCTCATACTTATCCATACTCTGTACTTCACTTGCTTCATAGACCGCCTCCGTTCTCTAGTGATAGAACAGCCGTGCGGAGAGCGGAATGTCCGGGGTTCGATTTTCGGCCGCGTCAAACCAAAAAGCGTTAATATATGGTACTTGTTACCCTGGCGGGCGCTCGGCGTTTTACAGCAAAAACAAAGACTGGTCGGCTCGGAGTCAGTTCACTGTGTCTGCTAAGGGAATTCGTGTGTAACTGCGGCATAGTAGCCACACACACACACACACACACACACACACACACACACACACACACACACACACACAGGCATGTCGCTATATAAGTGCAATAATCTTGGACACGGTGTCAGAACCTACACTGAAACGTCGCTCCTAATAGTAACAAAGAAGTTGTTCATCCATATATCTTATCCTTACTTTCTTGACCTCCTTATAAAACTTAAATTTGTAAAGAAAATAGTCGATAATTTTGTTTGAGATATGTATTATTTTTCCATCTTAGTTGGAACACGAGGTAGATAATGTAACATAAACGCCAAACGGGCAGGTGTTTGAACTTCTTCAATAACAACTTCCGCAGGAAGAGGCATATTAGCTAATTAGATGTAAAGTACTTAAATACGCCCATTTCCACGGTGTGCCTGTACATGACTTGTTGTTGTAAAACAAACTTGGCTCACTCAAAAGGTTCAGCAACCATTGGCCCTTGTTTACTTGTCAGTCTACGCTAATGCCTTGATGTTGGAATAATTAATTGCTTGACTATGTGTAACAATGTACAGTCACTCGGTTTCCTAATTGGACGTACATGGTTCCTATCAATTACTGGGAAACGAAAACACAAGTTATTGAGACTCCAGTCCAGGAATATCTGTATGGGCGGGACGACATAGCCCTACAGCACAATTGGGCAGGTCATTGTAGTTTTACAACTAGACAAGAAAGAAAGAGAATTTATGGATGTCAACTAAACTTTCTCTTCTTTATGTGTATCGCTTCTAAATGCCATTCAAAGACTAGACAATAAACACAGTAAATTCCTGCTATATTATTACAACTTCCAACAGGATCTGCTGAACCTAAAACAAACATTTATAGAATGAAACCTAGCAAATTGTAACCTCATGTTAAAATGTACCAGCCACTCTTACCACGATCACAGAGAAGAGGATCTTCATCTTGAGGACGTCGAGGTCGCCCAACTGCGTGAAGCTGTTGAGGGCGTCCATGGCGTCCACGCGGCCGTCAGTGTACAGGTTCCCATACTGTCTGATCAGCTCAGTGGGGCGTTTACCACTGCCAAGGTTGATATTTTCAAAGCTGCCGGCGTTCACAGTGAACTGCTTGTGAACCTGATCTGACAATCTGGACACAAGAACATAAATAGTGAGTTGGGTTAAACGCCGTTTGGATCAGTATTTCAGATAGATCGTGGCCTACTAGATTGATGTGAGAGAAACGTGACAGATGCTTACCACTATAGTAAAACAGAAAAACCAGAGATCATAATCGGGGATACACTGGGATTCGAACCCATAGGCCAAGTAGACAAAGGCAGCTAGGGGACGCAGTTCGAAATAGGAAAAACAGTTGGACCTCAACAAAAGTTAACAGGACGGCGCCATGGACATAAAGTAAGTGGGTGAATATGGTTCACAGTCGCTTTCAGCAATATCCCAGCAATATCACGGCGGGGGATACCAGAAATGGGCTTCACACATTGTACCCATGTGGGGAGCCCATGAAGATCCGGGTTAGAATAGATCTTCAGCAACCCATGCTTGCCGTAAAAGGCGACTAACGGGATCGGGTGGTCAGGCTTGCTGACTTGGCTGATGCATGTCATCGATCCCAATTGCATGAATCGATGCTCATGATGTCAATCAATGGATTATCTGTTCAAGAGTTCATCATTATTTATAGACTTCCGTCATGTAGATGGAATTTTGCTGAGTGCTGCGTTAAACAACAAACAAATCTAAACACCATGTGGGGAATCGAACACGGGACTTCTGCGTGACAAACGTACGCTTTAACCACTAGCCTACCACACAGCTAATCAGGAACTGATTACATTTAGTTTCGTTAAAATACTAAAGTCTCCATGAAAAATTACTTTCAAACTTTCAACAAGCCATAGCCTGCGACGTCATTCATTGACATGGTCGCATGAATAGGACAAAGTTAACGGTGGTACGTGTTATTGTACCTTTCTTTCAACTGAACTTCTCTTGTCTCCAACTTGTGTATTTGATCTTGTGCTTCTGACAATTCAAGGCGCAGTCGCTCGACTTGACGTTGCAGAGCTGACACGTCGCCTGACGTCGTGTCACGTGACATGTTTCCGTTAGACCTGACCTCATGTTCAGCGCCACCAGATGAAAATGACGTCATCATGTCCACTGAATAGTATGAGGGCGTGGTGGTGCTGTGAGTGATGTTGCCGCTACTGGCGTTGCTGTAAGGCTGCCAGCGGTAATGCCCTGTAGCATCAGTAAAAGAACGCTTGCACTCAAAACGTAAGTTGAGATACGATTAAATGTTACATGACTAAAATACATAAACAGATCAATAAATTAGTGACATAATCTGACATACTTTGAAAACGGCTATCAAGAATCACAACATGAAAGCATTATAACACATTAACCTCTGAGTTACAATAAAATAAATATATAACGTGAGTGGTGTTTACGATGACACTTGCTGATAACCCAGCCGCGCATGTGGGGGGCGAACTGACATACTTTCAAACATACTGAACAAACTCACAGATATCACAAGAGCTCGCTGATTTCAAAAACAAGTGTTGACGACACAAGCGTAACTACTCATACCTCATAAATCCACCCTCGCCATCCTGTGTGTATCCACCTATATAGTTAAACACTGCACTGACCTGTTGGAAGACTGGGTAGCGCACCGCTCCTCTGTGGCGAGCTCTCGACACTGCCATTTCCTGCAGGCCCTGTACCGACACCTACCAAAGTAAAAGAATCGTATTTCCCTAGTGTTTCTATGGTAACTCTTGACCTGACATAATACCCCTACACCCATCTGAAGTAATAGCAGTTCACGCTCGTCATGAATGAATTTCCCTTCACTTTTCTCAGATAATAAATGCAAGGTCGCGGCGTGTTAGAAGACTGAGTAATTAGAAGAAATGTACACACAAGTGAGCTTATCTGTGTCCAGACGGTGTACATCACACAGCATGAAGGGTCAGTGTGACCCACGACAGATGAGGTTACATTCAAGTTGACGATAATTTTTAATGGGAAAATTTATTTTGTTTGGATAACTTCAATGGACAATGCTTGAGCGGTTTTAATGTTTGTCCCGACCTCTAGTATTGAATCAGTCTCGTTATTCCTAGAGGTTTGAAGTTCATACTTACTAGCAGCGGCAATAATTAAGCACGATTTGAAACAAGAGAAATCGCCAAGTATAACTATTTCACATGGACATGATCTAGTACCTTGCCTGGTGTTAATGAATACGGGGTAAATCTAGTACCCTGCTTGGTGTTCATGAATATGGAGTAGAACTAGTACCTTGCTTGGTGTTCATGAATACGGAGTAGAACTAGTACCCTGCCTGGTGTTCATGAATACGGAGTAGAACTAGTACCCTGCTTGGTGTTAATGAATACAGGGTAGACCTAGTACCCTGCTTGGTGTTAATGAATACAGGGTAGACCTAATACCCTGCCTGGTGTTCATGAATACGGGGTAAATCTAGTACCCTGCCTGGTGTTCATGAATACGGGCTAGAACTAGTACCCTGCCTGGTGTTCATGAATACGGAGTAGAACTCGTACCCTGCCTGGTGGTAATGAATACAGGGTTGACTTTGTACCCTGCTTGGCGTTCATGAATACGGGGTAGACCTAGTACCCTGCTTGGTGTTCATGAATACGGGGTAGACCTAGTACCCTGCCTGGTGTTTATGAATACGGAGTAGACCTAGTACCCTGCCTGGTGTTCATGAATACGGGGTAGACCTAGTACCCTGCTTGGTGTTCATGAATACGGAGTAGACCTAGTACACTGCCTGGTGTTAATGAATACAAGGTAGACCTAGTACCCTGCTTGACGTTCATGAATACGGAGTAGAACTAGTACCCTGCTTGGTGTTCATGAATACGGAGAAGACCTTGTACGCTGCTTGGTGTTCATGAATATGGGGTTGAACTAGTACCCTGCCTGGTGTTCATGAATACGGGGTAGAACTAGTACCCTGCTTGGTGTTCATGAATACGGGCTAGAACTAGTACCCTGCTTGGTGTTCATGAATACGGAGAAGACCTAGCACCCTGCTTGGTGTTCATGAATACGGAGAAGACCTAGTACCCTGCTTGGTGTTCATGAATACGGAGAAGACCTAGTACCCTGCCTGGTGTTCATGAATACGGGCTAGAACTAGTACCCTGCCTGGTGTTCATGAATACGGGCTAGAACTAGTACCCTGCTTGGTGTTCATGAATACGGAGAAGACCTAGCACCCTGCTTGGTGTTCATGAATACGGAGAAGACCTAGCACCCTGCTTGGTGTTCATTAATACAGGGTAGACCTAGTACCCTGCTTGGTGTTCATGAATACGGGGGAGAACTAGTACCCTGCTTGGTGTTCATGAATACGGAGAAGACCTAGTACCCTGCCTGGTGTTCATGAATACGGAGAAGACCTAGTACCCTGCCTGGTGTTCATGAATACGGAGTAGAACTAGTACCCTGCCTGGTGTTCATGAATACGGGTAAAATCTAGTACTCGCTTGGTGTTCATGAATACGGAGTAGACCTAGTACCCTAGCTGCCTGGTGTTCATGAATACGGAGTAGAACTAGTACCCTGCCTGGTGTTAATGAATACGGGGACAATCTAGTACTCGCTTGGTGTTCATGAATACGGAGTAGACCTAGTACCCTGCCTGATGTTCATGAATACGGAGTAGAACTAGTACCCTGCCTGGTGTTCATGAATACGGAGAAGACCTAGTACCCTGCTTGGTGTTCATGAATACGGGGTAGACTAGTACCCTGCCTAGTGTGCAAGAATACGGGGTAGAACTAGTACCCTGCCTGGTGTTCATGAATACAGGGTAGACTAGTACCCTGCTTGGAGTTCATGAATACGGGGTAGAACTAGTACCCTGCCTGGTGTTCATGAATACGGAGCAGAACTAGTACCCTGCCTGGTGTTAATGAATACTGGGTAGACCTAGTACCCTGCTTGGCGTTCATGAATACGGAGTAGAACTAGTACCCTGCCTGGTGTTCATGAATACGGAGAAGACCTAGTACCCTGCTCGGTGTTCATGAATACGGGGTAGAACTAGTAACCTGCTTGGTGTTCATGAATACGGGGTAGACTAGTTCCCTGCCTAGTGTTCAAGAATACGGGGTAGAACTAGTACCCTGCTTGGTGTTCATGAATACGGAGTAAATTTAGTACCCTGCCTGGTGTTCATGAATACGGGGTAAATCTAGTACCCTGCTTGGTGTTCATGAATACAGGGTTGACCTAGTACCCTGCCTGGTGTTCATGAATACGGAGTAGAATTAGTACCCTGCTTGGTGTTCATGAATACGGAGAAGACCTAGTACCCTGCTTGGTGTTCATGAATACAGGGTAGACCTAGTACCCTGCTTGATGTTCATGAATAAAGGGTAGACCTAGTACCCTGCCTGGTGTTCATGAATATGGAGAAGACCTAGTACCCTGCCTGGTGTTCATGACTGCGGAGAAGACCTAGTACCCTGCTTGGTGTTCATGAATACGGGGTAGAACTAGTACCCTGCTTGGTGTTGATGAATACAGGGTAGACCTAGAACCCTGCTTGGTGTTCATGAATACGGGGTAGAACTAGTACCCTGCTTGGTGTTCATGAATACGGGGTAAATCTATTACCCTGCCTGGTGTTCGTGAATACGGGGTTGAATAGTTCCCTGCCTGGTGTTCGTGAATATGGGTATATTTAATAACATGTCTGTTGTTTGTGAATAAGGGTGACACTAATGTCCTTACACTGCCATACTGCCGGATAACACGGGTGATACAAATGTCTTCACACCGCCCCACTGCTGGATAACATGGATGAATCCACTGTCTTTACACCACCTTACTGCTGGATAACACGGGTGATACAAATGTCTTCACACCGCCCCACTGCTGGATAACATGGATGAATCCACTGTCTTTACACCACCTTACTGCTGGATAACACGGGTGATACAAATGTCTTCACACCGCCCTACTGCTGGATAACACGGATGAATTCCCCATCTTTACACCACCCTATTGCTGGATAACACGGATGAATCCCCTGTCTTCATACCGCCCTATTGCTGGATAACACGGATGAAGCTCCTTAACTATTGTGTGCGGGGCATTTTGTTTTAACGTGTTGTGCAGTTTGCGGAACTCATCACTACAATGACCGATATGGAGATATTTCCGGATGAAAATCTTTCTGTCGGCGTATTGTCGAAGGCGTCCAAGTCGAAGTGTTGTCAGATTCCCTTCTTCCCTTCTCCAGTAACGTTTACCGAGTGAACACGTTGCATGTACATGACGTCCAGGGGATGGTTCCTTCAATACATTCGGCCAGTATTCCCAACTATAGTAATCTGTAGGACAACGTTTGGATTCTGATAAAGATGCATGTTTTATATTCTACCAGATTTAGCAAGGTTATCTGCCACCTCATTTCCCTGTACCACACACCCTGAAGACGGCCAGGGTGGGGAGGCTGCTTCCACAAGGTAAACATTAAGATAGCCGTGTTGTTTTGCTCGAGATTGAACTGTGAACAAACATAACTGGATCTGGGCCTGGATTGATTTCAATACCGTGTGGGATCTACCTTGATGTGAAGTACACAGCTAGAGATGGTACACCGAGGCATCTACAGCGAATGGAAGACGGCCAAATCTTCCCCAAAAGGACCTATAATCAGCAAACTGGAAAGCATGGATGCTGACAGGTAGTTTATGGCAGACATGATTTATCTTGATATCAAACAGTACTGGACTTCCTTGGGTGCTATTTTCCGCACACCGACTACCTGAAATATGTCGTCCAATATGTACTTGGATTGATCTCTCTGAGAGAAACGAACAGATTAGCTTTCACACCAAGTTGCTGAACATAGCGTAAAAGGTAATCCTCGTCTCCAAGCCATGATATACGTCTTTTCAATGTCAAGGAATACACAACATCTTTTTCTAATTACTTTCACTTTAGTTTCTGCAGATTGCAGTCTCAAGATACCACGTCGTATGTTAATGAAGTGCCTGCGACCTGAGTTTGTGGGATCATATGTTGACTGGTGAGTCTTGTGACACTCGGGACCATCCCACACGCTGAGACTGATAAGATTTTACATGCGACTCTCTCAACTTCACCGTCCGTAAAATGTTTAAGATTCCTGTCAGTTATTCTCTGTGACAGTGACATTGCATCAGATTACCACACCTGCAAATGCTGAAACCAAAGGCGGGGACAGTGTTCACTGGTTGACTTGCACCATCTATTATTTGCTTTACAACGTCAACATTCTTAGATGAGTTATTTTCCGTGCAGATACATTTAACTATTTGTATTCAAGCAACACTGTTTACTATTCTGAGTGAAGTGTGCATAAGAATAAACAATATAAACCCCTATGTTAAGGTCGTGAATATCATGGTTTATGAGTCGGTAAAGTGAGTATATTCTCATCACCGCCCGCTAAATATAGGTGAGTGTTTCAAAAATTTCGATTTAAACATATTTTTAAAGCATTTTTGGTAACCTGACACTGATGATCAGTTGGGAATATACAACGGACATCAATTGCTTTCATTTAGTACAGTGGTGAAGTTTTGTTGGAGTGGCTAGGAAATCGAAATATAGAAAACAAATAGGTGAAATTCGGCATACCGACCCATTGAAATATAACATTTGATTAGAAACATGTTATTGGTTGAAACTGATTTGA